AGTAAAGGGTTCTAGAAGTTCATTAGTGCTTCATGACATCACTCAGCGGCCCCGTATTCTCTTTGATTAACTCAAAGGCTACCGGTACCCACAAATATGTCACACTAACATAGTTATTGCTTAGACCATGTTGGTATACCCCACACAGTTTCCACAACATATTGCTATTTACCTATAATGTTTCCCAAATCTGGGTGGAGGATTCAAACCCAAACAAAGAACCATAATGTAAAGCAAACAAGTCAAACAAATGTAAGCAAATAAATGTGATCTAAACCCTAAGGTAACCCCACTTTTATAAAAATCCCCAGCAGAGTCGCCAGTTCTGTGATACGGTGGGAGAACTGACTTGAGGGTTTTGCATTTTATCGCAAATGTTACGGTTAGCAAGAGTCGCCACCGAATTTTCTTTTATCCAAAAGGAAAGGTGAAAAAGTACAGGAAAGACCTTTGAGATGTTTTCTTGAGTTCGGGGGGTAGATTATGAAAAGGGAAGGTATTAGCACCCTTTTCATCCATGGTTTTCCATGGGCTCTTAGTTACTTGCTTAGATCACTTGCTTTTGTTTGTTTGAAATTGTGTTTGGTGTGGTTTTGAAAGTGTTTTGTAAAAGAGACCATTCGTTTAGGCAATCTTTGTAACGATTCTCGTTCGTAAGAATGTATACAAAGATGTTTGTCTTTTGAAAATGTTTTCAATGTTTGAAAGAATGTTTGGAAATATGCATGTTTGTTTTGAAAAATAGCAAGGATAGTTGTTTGAAATGGAGCAAGTAACTAGAAGTAATCTACCTACTCAAATTTCTTTCTTGTGCATTCTCTATTCCTTTGACATTGTTGTCTTACCATTGATTTGGTAAGCAACCCTATCTTTAGATGTAAACGGGACGGACGCGGGTCATCGTACAACTATGATTAGCAATGTTTGCAAAGTACCTTTGCATTTTGAGGGACCAAGATCATTTTGTAAGGTAACTTTTAAATAGCGTCATCGAGGGACTATGATCTTATATTTATTTGTTTTTGCCAAGATACTTCGCATGCGTAATGTGCCCATTTTTGTTTTAGGCAACCAAGTGGAGAAACCCTAAGGATGCTTGTGTGCAAGTGTATTATTTTCATGCTTTGATTTTGTCTTGTATTTAGGGTTTTCTATTTTGTTTTGTTTTGATCTTGTCATACAAACCCTAATTACTAATCATGGCATGTAAAGCGATAAATTACATAATGTAAATATTTCTAAGCTATTACAATAATTTATGGGAGGGGGGAATACAAATTTGAATGGGGATTTGCAAAAATATAAACCTAAATAAATTATTACAACCAAATCGAATTTGTACGGATTAGAATAAATACAATACAATATTTAAAGATGCAATACAATGTACATGTAAGAAAAGATTTTTTTTGTGTCTTATTTTTTATGTAAAAGAAATTTTCATCTAAACCTAAAAATATAAGGAAAAGGAATTCATTTTTAAAAGGGGTTTAACCCTAATTATTATTTTAAAAGAAAATAAAGTTTTTATATGTGTTATTTTATGTATTTTCTTGTATAAAAATAATAAATAATATTGTATAAAAATATAAAATTTTTATATATGCAAAAATAAATGTTTATAGGTATGAAACAAAAATAAATAAATAAAACTAAACATGTTTTAATTATATTTACAAGTTTATTAAGAAAATAAATGATATCTTATTAAAATAAAATATATTTTTATGTGAAAAATAAACTAAAACAAAATAAAAATACAATATGATTAATTTACATTTTTTGGATTTTTATTCATTAAAGAAAATATTAATGAAAACAAAAATAAAATTAAATAAAATTATTATGGAAAATAATGGGTCAGGGGGTATAGCAAGCATATTAGAGGCAGCCTGCAAGCAAAAAAACTGTGGCCCAAACAATGGAGGCCCATCCTGCAAAAAAGTCACAAAACTGAAAAATGGCAAAATATGAAAAAGACAAAAGTAGCACCCAGGTTCGAACCCAGGACATGGGTCTCACCAGCGCGCTACTTTGCCACTAGGGTGGCTATACATCCATTGTCTTATGGAAAGCAAAAATAATATAACCCAAAACAAGTCTTTTCCCTATACTTCATCTTGTTCCTCAAGCTTGGCCAGACATCCTGTAACTCTCTCATACTTCCATGAAAATGAAAACTCATAACATGAAAGTTGTAGTACTTGAACTCACGATTCCAACCATATAAGTTATGTGAACTATCAATCAAAGATCAAAGAGAATTTTAACAACCCTAAATTTTAACCTAATATTTTCAGAAATTTCAAGTTCAAAATTCTCTCAACTCAAGTAAAATCAATGCAAGATAAAGATATGTACAATTTCGTTATGCTGAGGACTACACTTTTTATTCACAAATCATGGTCTATAGTTGCCTGTACAAGGAGATAGAGTTTGAGATTTTACCTCCTTCAGTTGGAATCGTGGATGAAACTGGGATGAGTTTGATGGAGGCCTGATGCTTGCTTGAGCTTCCTTGAACTTCCCTGAATGTATTCCAACCCTTGCCTTGCTCTGAAAGTATCTGAAACTCCTTGGCCAAGTCAAACTGCAAGCTCTGAAATCAAAAATGGTAGATTATGGAAAAGTGATTACAGAACAGGGATGAAGGCCTGGATTGGTTTGATATCAAGTATGTAAGGTGTTTGAATGATCAAAACTTAAAACGCACGAGCCAAATGGAAGATGGATATGCTTATGCAAAAATTGTAGGTTTGGACAAAATTTTGGTGTCTTACTGGTTGGGAGTGTTTCAGGCCTTTTTTCCTCGTATGCTAAGTTGTATTATCTTTGTATATTAGTATGTAATTGCACTACAAGAAAATTGGCAGATTGCGACAGGTATTTTTGTAGATTACGACGGTTAAAACCGTCGCAATTTGCTTTCCACGACGGTTGCTTTACCGTCGCAGAAGTGTGTGTCCCCAACCTATTTCGCGACGGTTACAAAAACTGTCGTTCAAGTTTACGACGGGTTGATACCGTCGTGACTATCTTTTGAGTTTCTTTTAATTATTGATGGCGACGGTTCGATACTGTCGTGAATATCTTTTGAAATTGATTAAATTGTTTATGGCGACGGTTCGATACCGTCATGACTTTTGTTGATTACGACGGTTCGGTACTGTCGCCATGACTTTTGTTTATGTCTTGATTTTTTTTTTTTTCTATTATATATATTTTTTATTTAAATTATTATCTATGTAAAAAATTTTAAATATAGTTTTTTTTGTGTTATTTTTTTCTTTAAATTATTTCTTCTTTAATATATTTATTTATAGTATTATTTTTTGTTTTATTTTCTATCACTTTGTAATATAGTAAAAATAATTTCAATAAAAAATATTTAACATCAAATAAGCATTATAATATCCAAAAAAATGTGTGTTCCATAATCATGTAAAATGCGAGTTCCATAATCATGTCAAGTAGTACAAAAAACCCAAAATATATCAATTCCTAATCTTATAATAATAAGTATCATTATGCCAAAAATACATGAGAAAGTTCACAATCTAATTATCTCGATCATAGCAAAGTCTAATTTGTCCCCCCTGAAGTTCCATTATCTCCAATACGATAGCTAGACTCAGATGAACGTCTACCATCAGCGGGTGATTCCAATCCCTAAAAAAAGGTATTAAAATAATAATCTTTAAAATAATACTCATAAAATTTAACTTTAAATGCGTCAAATTAATATACCTGTCTTCCATTGGAATAGAGTTAGCAGTACCTCATGTAAAGGAAGGTTCAACCCAAGTTCAGACGAAGTTGATCGCAAATTGGCAAATCGTCGTAAATCCCTTTCGGCTATACATGGAAGGATATATCCATCTATTTCATGAACCAACAATCAGCATTTCAAACAACTTCCAAATTTTCATCCAAGAGGTAGCATATACCAATTCTTGACTAAGACTAATGACATGACTCGGAGCACAAATTCTTGAGTTACAAGAATAAGCATTTGAAATTAGATAAAGTACCTGTTCTCTCCGAAGGCCATTCGAAGTATACAGCGCATATATGATGGAGCTTAGTACGTTGAAATGGATACTGAGAATGAGCCCTACAGAAATTTTTGCAAATTCTTATTTTAAGTGCGTATCTAATTAGTAACCAGATTCAGAACTATAGCAGATAAACTTTACCATTAACATATAGCTTTCGTAGGTTCTGATTAGTATATTCTAAATTCCAATCAATATTGAGTATAGTAAAGGAACTGGAAGCAATGAATTAAATAACATACTTGAGCACAAAGTCTGAATCAGCTGAGTGGCATTTTGGCTTCAAATAAGCATCAATCACTTGTAAAATGGTATCGTCCTTTCCTATATTATGCATTAGTATTTGTTCAACCCCTTCCATACAATACTCACCTTTTCCATACACCAAACAACCCCTTCCATAACCTCCCTCCGAGAATGCTACTGCTCACACACAACCATTACCTTCCAACATCAACACTAATTTCACAGCATTCAGAAACAAAAATATTGAATCATAACAACAGATCAACTGAATCAAAGAAGAAGAAAAAACACCTTATCACAAGCTTAGATCCACCACAGTTTCATGTTTCCTTTAGCTTCCCCACCATCTGTTGGAAACAGAGACATAATGGTTCAATTATCTAGAAATAATAGTAATAATATGGATAGTACTTCATCTCCTGATAAATCAAATCAAGTTGCAACTGTTGCTTCTGAAACTGGGCCGGCATCCTCAACGATTGTTCACTTCTATTCTTCTGATCCAGTATTGGTTCCATCTGATAACTCATGGCTTCCTGGTGTTGTTGGTGCCATTAGACGCGAAGTGGAAAACCAACACTCTCATGGAGAATCAAATGCTGTTAACTCAGCCAAGAACAAATTAACTGCTTTTTCTGAGACTAGTAGCTCTTCTATGAAATAAAAGATTCAAGGTAAATCCCCGAGAGTGGAAAAAAATCATGGCAATGAGATACCATCCCCATCCTATAATTCTCAACAATGAATGACAACAATCATGATATTAGCAAACAGCAATAGTACTAGTATCCCAAAAATAACTGATAATTACAAAGTAGACAAGTGCTTACGCATAATGATTCAGAGTTCAACAAAGTACACTGTGCTTCAGCTTCTTCAATCCTGCATTTTCGAAAAAGAGCAAGATGCTATCAGTTCAAATTGGTTCTTTAGCATCCATCAATGCAACTTGTTCAATCAACTTTCAAGAGGAATAAAAATTCGATAATATCATTTCTAAATAATATATGTTTAGTACCCTACATACAAATTTTAATTTTTTATTAGTCCATAAATAAATTTGAACATCAACAATTCCGGCAAAATATGATAGCATTCTTTAAAGCAAAACACCATCAAACTGTAACTTCTATTAAATATTACCCATTCAAACAAGAGACGCCGAGAGCCATCCCCAAGGCTTTAGCCTCTTTAATCATACATGAAAACTCAGACCCCAAATTTCAATTCCAACCTCTTCCTTTATTATTCTTTCCTTGTGTGTCCCTTCATCTTCTTCTTCTAATCATATCATCATGGACAGAAACAATTGTCGCATTAAATCTAAGTCATTTATTTATGGAATATGATTCCTAACAATGAAAAGTACTCTACGCTAAATAGGAATTATCACATCGAAAAGTACTCTACGCTAAATATTTGCGAAAATCAGCCAGTGAGTAGGGAAATATGGAGACGCAAGGTAAGCAATTTCCATTGTTGGTAAAAAGGAAAAATGGATTCTCGGAAAAATAGATAATCAAATTTAAAAAGCTAACTACCTGAACCACACCTTCACTAAAACCATCTCCAACTTTCATACTCTGAACAGCATCAAGCAATGCATTTGCAAACTTGTCATATATACCTTTACAGAAACATGGTTACATAATAAAATGCAAATAACTTAAGAACTGAAACAAATAATGTATCTAAATGGACATTGAATTGGTGTGAGATAGAAACGGGCAAATAATCAATGGGATACATTAACATTACTGATTAAAGAAAATCTCTTATAAGAATGTTGGTAAATCTCTTATAAGAAAGTGGGTCCAATTTCCCTAAATTCCTTATCTTATGTTCTCTAGTTTGCATTTTTTATTTTTATTTATTTCAAAACAATTCTAAATTCCATTTTAAAACTGTGTGACAATTAAATAAGCAACCACTTGCTGAAATAATTCTAAATTCCATGTTAAAACTATGTGACAATTAAATAAGCAACCACTTGCTGAAATTGCAATCATTAAGATTGGGTAATACAGGCTACAAAATACTAACCAAAATTCCTGAAAAGATTTATAATGTTGTCTCATAAAACACATTACATGAACCAGCTAGTATGTGCTGTGGCAAATTCCCACATCCTACAGCAGTTAGGAGAAGGAACTTTGAGCAAATAATGTAGGGAATCATTATTAGCACTAATAGCACATTACCGTCAAACAAAATTAAGGATGGCAAATCAGAATAAGGATGGCAGATCAGAAAAATGTATTATAACAGTAAAATTGATAGTTTGATATCTCGTTTATCTAACCTTCTTGCACAAGAATTCTATTTGCACATACACATGTTTGTCCGCTATTACGGAACTTTGCTGCAAGCTGCATACGGGAATTTATTATTACTAGTTGAAAACAGAAGGCCCAAGAGAATCATAAATTCTACAAATTGGAAAGATAAAAATAGCAAAATATTGTTTGATATAAAAACTTCAGCACAGCAAGATAGATTAGAATCTGAAGCTAAAGAAATAGATTTAGCAGTAAAGATTAATTGAATAATGAACAACATAGGAATTAGTAATCCTACTGCCAAGAGCTAAGTTCTTTCAAAGAAACAAATTTCTTTCTGCCCATAACCAACTTAATGAAACATGCATTAAATCTAAGTCATTTATTTATGGAATATGATTCCTAACAATGGTTGTTGTTGTAACATACTCAGGTGTAGGAAGAGCTATCAACAAATGAAGAAAGAATATGTGCCTGAAGTGTCTAACATATATTTTGACCCTAATGAAGTGCCTGAAGTGTCTACCATTGAATTTAAAGTACACTTGGCTTCGTCATACCTATGCAATTTACATAGCCCATTTGCAAGAATGTTGAATGTAAACACATCTGCATTGAATCCTTTCCTTTCCATGATTGTTTGCAGCCTCAAAGCTTCATCCATCATTCCTCTTTTGCAGTAGCCATCTATCATCGTGTTAAATATTATCATATTTAGGTCAATTCCCTTACTTTGCATCTCTTCCAACAAGATTTCCACAACTTCCATTTGACCAGCCTTACACACACCACCAATCAACGCGCCGTAAGTATGTGCATTAGGAGCAACATTTCTCTGAGCCATCTCATCAAACAACGCAAATGCCCTTTTCATATTTCCCAACCTACAATTCCAACTTATCATGGACGAATAAACATAAACATCAATTTCTATTTTTCTTTCACGCATTTCCTCGAATATCTTCTCCACTTCCCCAATATCACCAGAACTAGAATACCACTGAATCAAAATACTATAAGTCGCCACACTAAAAACAACCGGCTCCTTCTCCATCAACCTCAGTATCTCACCAACTCCACTTCGATCCTTTCTTCCAACATACGCATTCAACAACGTATTGTAAGTAAACACAGTCGGTTTCACAATGCTTTTAGTGACCATCTCATCCATCAACTCCTTAGCTTTCTCAACCTCTCCTCTCTTACACAAGCCATCAATCACAAGTGTCAAAGACTGAACCCTAATTTCAATTCCATTAGACTCAACCATCCGGCGGAAGAATCTAAGACACAACTCAATCTCACCACATCTCTTCAAAGCAAGCAAAAGCACAAAACAAGACCTCTCCTCTATCACGAACCCCTTTTCCTCCACATAATCAAAAACCCTAACCGCCTCTTGAAACAACCTATTATCAGAACAAACCCTAAACAACATATCACAAAGCTTGTCAACAAAATGAAACTCAAATTCATCAAGCAAATCAACGATCCCCGAAACTGGGGAGCGAAATTGGGAATCAGTAACAACGGAATTCAGAATAGTCTTGATGGTGGCGAATTTGTGAGCTTTAAAGAGTCTAGAAAAGAGAATCAAATGGGCCTTGAGGTCAGGTTTGAGTGAATGGTTGGAATGATGGGTTTTGAGGAAGTGGAAAAAGGATAAACAGGAATGCGGTTGGAGAATAGGGTCTGAAAGAACACGGTAAGTAACATGGGGGGTGAAGGTGATGCAGGAAATGATGGAGTGAAGTTCGGTGTTATTGGGTTTGAAATAGTTGGGTTTAAATTGCAGTAAAGCGTAATAGACGAAGCGGGGTAAAGGATTTAGGGGGACGACGGGTGTGGTTACCGTCGTGCCCTTTCATAACTTTTGCATGTTTTTTAAAGGTTTAGGGGGGCGACGATTGTTTTACCGTTGTGATGTCTATTTTAGGACGGTTTCTTAACCGTCGCAACATTCATTTTAGGGCGGTAGGTGTATACCGTCGTGACATGGGTCCCTATATTAGAATTACGACGGTTATTAAGTAACTGTCGCAATTTTTGTGTTGTAAAATCCTAATTTTCTTGTAGTGTTGGTTTGATGTCAACCCTCTAACAGATGTGTCTATTCTAGCCTTTTTGCCACTTTTCTTGTATTTGAAGTAAAGTGATAAGACAAAGCTTTACATGCTTGTACTGGCTTGCTTAGGGTTGGTATCTATTATCTACAAGTTGCCTTAGGTCTGTGGTACTTGTATGTGCCAAGGGGACAGGTCCAATGCTCAAGATTGTAAAGTTTGCAAAAGTTGATCTTTTTCAAAATGGCAATGGTCACTTTTTGCCATAAATGGAATTGCAAGTTGGATAATGGTTCTAAGGAATGCATCAAAGCTTTGTCAACTGAGTAAGCATTTAATTAAGGAGTGTGGAACAAGTTTGGGACCTGTAAAGAATGGATTAGGAAGCATAGGTACTGATTGCAACTTTGTTCTTCATGAAATGGCTTGGACAAAAAGTGAGAAATTGCCAACTTCATCTCTTCGATTCTCCCTACTCAAAAATGATCTTGAGGAGTTATTTGACATTTTGTAAAGCTTGCAATGTGCTTTATAATTCATCTTTGAAATGAATTTTGAGATACCTCTTGGAACTAGGTGAAACATTGCCATGAAGTTGGGTCCAAAACCTGCCTAGATTAGGGCAAAATTTCACTAAGTTACTTAGTTCATGACCATATATTCATAAATTTATATCTTGATATCCAAGCATCTTTAGGGAAAATTGTGTGAATAAAAGATGTAGATTTCATGGAGGTATACAAATTTCATGTTGGGAACTTTCCTTGAATCATTATGCATCATAGTGAAAAAGTGGCCTAAAGTTGAGAAAAAATAAGAAAATTTTCTATACCTAGAAAATTTCTAATTTAGGAAAATTTTGAAATTCAAACCCTAATTTTTAAATTTGGTTTTCTTGATAAACAAGTTTCACATTTTGACATGTTTTGATGAATTATGACCCTTGGAACTTGATTTTGACCAAAAAGTCAAAGTTTGACTTTTCAGTATACAGTTGACTTTTGATCAGTTGACTGCAAACTTCATCTGTCAATCCAATGAATTTGAGATGTTTTGAGCCATGTAATTAGGTCAAGATGATGCCATTGAATCCTTGAAATCATGCTTTAACTCACTTGGTCATTTTCTATGTTAAGAATCAGAAATTGCCCTTAGTCAAAACCCTAATTTTGACCATTTTGCCCTTTTGGTGATTTGATCAAATTTCTTGAGGAATTATGATCCAAACTTGACAAAATGACACATGTGAGTCTAAAATGTTGATGTTGATAAAAAATTATGAAGTTTGACTGTAAATTGGCCATGGTTGACTTTTCCCCCAATACAACTGATTTTTAGGTCAACTGTCCAATTGACTGGTCAAAAATATAGTTCAAAGCTTGAAACTTGTCCTGAGTGATCTTAGGGATCCATAATGATGTTTGAAAGTCACATGAAGCATTGATAGTCCAAAAATCCTTGTGCAATCTTAAACCCTAATTTTGGGTCATCAGTGCATGATGATATGCCTTGAGCTGACCAAACCTTAATCCAGTCTTGAGTCAAATGAATCTTATGAGAAAAGTCTTGATAAATGAGAGGGCAAATTTTGGGGTACAACAGACTGATTGTATAAATAAGACATGACAACTATCTATTCGACCAACTGAAGCAACCCTACCCAGGTTCCTTCTCATTTCTAGATGCAGTTTTACCTGGACTTATCATGAAGCAACTCTACCCAGTATCCTTCTCATTTCCAGATGCAGTTTTACCCGGACTCATCCTGAAGCAACCCTACCCAGGTTCCTTCTCATTTCCAGATGTCGTTTTACCCGGAATCGTCATGAAGCAACCCTACCCAGGTTCCTACTCATTTCCAAATGCAGTTTTACCCGGACTCATCCTAAAGCAACCCTACCCAGGTTCCTTCTCATTTCTAGATGCAGTTTTACCCGGACTTATCATGAAGCAAACCTACCCAGGTTCCTTCTCATTTCTAGATGCAGTTTTACCCGGACTCATCCTGAAGCAACCCTACCCAGGTTCCTTCTTATTTCCAGATGCAGTTTTACCCGGACTCATCATGAAGCAACCCTACCCAGGTTCCTTCTCATTTCCAGATGAAGTTTCATATGGACTCATTATAAACCAACCCTACCCAGGTTCCTTCTCATACATTTCCAGATGAAGTTTTACCCAGACTCATCCTGAAGCAGCCCTACCCAGGTTCCTTCTCATACATTTCTAGATGAAGTTTTACCCAGACGCATCATGAAGCAACCCTACCCAGCTTCCTTCTCATATATCTCCAGATGCAGCCCTACATAGGCCCATCATAAAGAAATCTTACACAGATTCCTTTTCATATACCTCTAGACACAATTTCGCATATATTCATCCTGAAACAATCTTACACGGATTCCTTCTCCAGATACAGTTTCATACAGACTTATCCTGAAGCAATCTTACACAGATTCCTTCTAATACATTTCCAAACACAACTTAACACGGGTCCATTCCAGCATATCATTCAGAGTTGAATCAACCAAATATTTATTCTGATACTTCTCTCAGTTACAGTCAAACTTAGGCTTGGTCTAATTTCTATCAACAATCACCTTTGGATGGCATCTATAAGCCCATCTCAGACAACTCCCCATCATCTCTCCAAATGGCATCTTTAAGCCCATTCCCTACACAATCAACCGACACATATTCGAGTGCAAATTTCTAGGCACTCTAGTGTTCAATCATCTTCTACCTTCAAGTCACGAATGGCGGACTCGTCAATCTAACTCTCCAAGTTTAAGAAGATTGAACAGGGGAAACTGTTGTACCCAAAAATTTTCCCTCTCAATTTCTCAAGATATATCTCACTAATATTTTCAAAAGCTCAAGTTTGCATAAGTACAAAGCAGATTGAAATGAGTAAATGCAGACAACCGTTCGAATTCAAAATCTAGCAAAATGCCTCCTTCGATGCAAGCTTGATTCACCAGCTTTCGATTGGGCATCTGGCCTCCTGAAAACTTGCTTCAAATTCCCAATCTTCGATTGAGGCAATGGCCTCTTGCATGCTTGCTTCATACAAGCTTCGATTGGACAAATGGTTGTCTTCACGCTAGCTTCGACTGGGCATTGTTTCCCTTTGAAATAGCTTCCTTTGATTCAGAAGACAAGGGCCTTCTGTTGGTGTCCTTTGATTCAGAAGTTAGTGGCTTCCTACTGGATTCTTTTGATTAAGAAGGAAATGACCTTATGAAAGATTCCTTTGATTCAAAGAATGTACCTCCTACATGTAAGCTTCGATTGCACCATTGGCCCCTTTACATGTTTGCGTTTGATTCACAAAACCAGGACTTCCTTCATGCCAGCAGGCACAAGGCAATGGCCTACTGCAGCTTTCCTTCAATTCAGAAGGCAATGGCCTTTTGAAGGATTTACTTTGATCCATAAAGCAGGGACCTCCTGCATGCAAGCCTCATTTGGGAATTAGGCCTCCTGCATGCAAGCTTCGATTGCACCATTGGCCTTACATGTTTGGCTTTGATTCACAAAACCAAGACTTTCTTCATGCCAGCAGGCACAAAGCAATGTCCTCTTACAGTGTTCGTTTCAATTGAGGAAGAAAGTGCTTCTTGCCTGCTTGCTTCAATTCACAAGGCAGGAACTTCCCTCATGCTAGCACCCACAGGGCATTGTCTATGTTCACAGTAGCTTCGACGGGACAATATCTCCCCTAGAAATAAGCTTGCTTCGATTCCACCCTTGAAAACCTCCAACACACATAGTTGGTGGCCCCTTCGAAGGACATGTACTGGTGGACTTGAAGGGCACACATAGATATCCATTCGAAGGATATGCCTTACTAGCCCATTTGAAGAATTGCACGTGATCCCTTCGAAGGACACACATATAGTCCAATCGAAGGATATGCATTTGGCCCCTTCGAAGGATGCACAAAGGGCCCATTCAAAGGACACATATTGGTTGTGAATAAATATTGTTATCTAAAGAGGGGTTTGGTCGAAGGATGGATCTAGTTGGTCAAAACGAAAGAGAAATATTCAAATATGCTTGCTGGCCAGAGTCTTATGTGTTGCCAAGTCCAAGCTTGTTGCATTAGCCACAACACTCCAAAACTGCTGCACACCAGTCCTGCTACGCTGCTCCTATATTTGCACCAATTTGGCATACAAATACTGCACCTACGAAGCTACAAAAATAGCATACTCAATTTGTTCAAATTCTTTTGTTTTCCCTCTCAAATCTCAGCCAACTTCATCTATAAATAAGATGTTCCACAATACATCTCGGGGGGCTTTTTGGTAGCTGGAGAAACTTTGGTTGTGTGAAAATCATCAAACACTTAACACACTCTCAAACCCAGAAT